AATTATGCATAAGTACAACTTATTAAAGCTCGATGTTTGAATTCGTATAAATAACTACGGATAAACATAATCAAATAGATAATAAATATCTAATTTTAAAATATAAAAAATCTAAAATATAATTAGAATAATTATCGAGTTTCAACAAAATAAATAATTATTATCTTTATAAAAATTAATATTATTAAACCAAATATAAATTATTTCGTTATTGTACATAAATTAAATTATAAAAAAATTGAATTAAAAAATTATACAAAAAAATGAGGAATTTCAAATAGTTAATTTGATACTAATATCGATATATTTTTGTCAAATTTTTATGATATCGTCAAATATATATTTTATTCAAAAATAAAAAAACATCATCGTTTTCTCAAAATCACATAAAGCCATATTATAACATCGATTGAGATAAAAAATAAAATGAAATATTAAAAACACGATGTATCTTTTTACATTGCTCGAGTATGCTTCTAGTCTATCTCTAATATGTTTGTCTTTATATATATTATCATATATTTTAGACGATGACATGTTTAGATTTTTTTGGAATAATTTTAGCAACATGGGTATGAGTCGGTGATGGGCCGGGGCAGGGTTGAACCGAAAACCTGCTTCGAAACGGTAAAATTGGTCAAAAGGATTACAAGTGCCGCGTCGATTAGATCAAGCTAGCCAATCGTAAGGTAAAGTCTCCGTGGCTTCTACAATCAGGTAAAAGAGGTTTTTCATTTTTCTTCAGATTTCTGTTTGGAAAAGAAACCCTAATTCATCCTTTTAATTCTTAACTGATTATCAAGCCAAATGATTTCGGATTTGGAGTATTATGTTGCTAATTGCTTTGTGAAGTCCTTTTAACGGATAACATCTGGTGATTCGATTTCTAGTTTTTTTCTGTAGGATGTCATCAAAATCTTCAGATTTGTCTTTATTTTTATTTTATTTTTGCAATATTCTTGATGGTTGGGTCGCTGCAGCTAATCTGATGATTTGTTTAGCAGCTTGAAGTCTTGATTTTGTATTGTATGGACAACCGACGGTACAATGGCCGACAAGACATACGTAGAAGGCAACAGAAAACAGCTGAGGTCATATGCTTGTGCAAGTTCTTCTTGTGTTATTTGACTGAAGATTCAGCATACATACTTAAGTTGGTTTATGATATTTATTTTTATACATCTTTATGTATTGATGTCGTTTTTGTATTGTAAGTGGTGCAGGAAGATGATGTTTCTGTTCTTGAGGAATTTGCGGAGGAATTTCGCCTACCAATTCATCACAGACCAACAGAAAACGTAGATCTTGATAATGTCGAACAAGCATCATTGGACACACAATTAACATCGTCCAATGTTGGTTTCCGGCTTCTTCAAAAGATGGGGTGGAAAGGGAAAGGTCTTGGGAAGGATGAGCAAGGTAAGCAGATAACTTTACTGCTCAAGTGCTTTCACTATGTTGTTTACTGTGTATGTAATTTTACCAGATATTCTATATATGTTATTTTGCATTGTTTAAAGCATTTGCTTTTCATATTGAATGCTGGTGTAGATTTGTTAGTACTGCTGCTGGACTATAACAGAAACTCTCATTTAGGTTACACAGGATGGTGAAGGATGTAGAACATAATATTATCTTGGAACTTAAATATCTTCTGTTATGACTTTCCAATTCCCTTCTACTCAATGTCACCTCAGTTTTCTTAAGGATTGATTTGCTATATGGGTATGGGTGCATGTTATGGCAGTTACTCTTACTAGTATGTGGTTTGTTGGGAATATTATCATTCTATATGTTATTAGAATATGGGCTATATATCTGTACTCAGTTATAAATTATTAAATATATAACTATTATATGTTTTTGTGTAATTATATATGCCAAAAATGTTAGGAAATTTTTAAAAAAGTTAGTCTGAATATGAAAGAAGATGATTATGTTGGACTAGGGAATCGATTTTGATTGTGTTCTACGCAGAAGTATTGACTGCTAGGATATGCATGGTTATGATAAAAGGTAAGTGATGTTGCTAGAAAATTTTCACATTTTTAGATGTTGAGTCTCGTTAATTAATTCTATGGGGTTTATATTTACCCTTTAAGGTGAGGATGCATCATTTATATTTACCCTTTAAGTATGGAAGTATGGGCTTGGTGAGTGATTATTAATTAATTCATCCGCCTAATGGACTCTTTGGAGTTCTAAACATATCCACGATGTTTGACTCCAAGTTTGGGTCGTCTCTTGACTTGACGGGCACATCCCAATGGGTAAGCTCTTGTTTTGATGGGCCTCATGGTGGAGTGCAAATTTGTATCCCTACTTGATTGGTAATGGTAATCAGGAACCCTTGTATCGTTGCATGTTTCCTTATAATGCTGTTTGACAAGGATGACGGCTGAGTTTTGATTGTGACTGTTTGGCCTTGTCGATCATCAGTAGTTGGTTGTGTTCCCTTAGTTCAATCAAGTCTCATTGCTAAAGTGGAGGCACAGAAAGTTTCAACTCTCTTTGTATATTGCCTCTAGAGTGGATTGGTGAGGCCTTAAGCGCTAGGCAGTCAATAGTGGTTAGTGGTCCTTCACCGCTACAAAATTTCATCATCATGGTACAAAATCGTGTAGTGCTTTTCGCGGTGCAATTTGCCGTGATTTGGTTTGTGACTCGGTATGTGTGACTTTATGTTTTGATTTTGAGACTTTATCATGGAAACTTTATGTTTTGACTTTTGATTTTGAGACTTAATCATGGAAACTTTATGTTTTGATATCGAAACTTGAAACTTTATGTTTTATTGAATATTACTACGAGATATGTATTACATATATTAAATACTGCATACATATATAATTATTAAATATATTACATGAACCGCTATTTTCTCTTCGCTTTAAGCATACGGATTAGGTGTTGCTATTTGTCTGATGAGGTGCCTTGTTCAATAATAAGAATATGTTGCTAGTTTGAGCTTCTTTAGGGTCCATGGAGGTATTAKTATATAAACTTCTATGTCTGAACTTGCTGGTTGAAGGTTATGGGTGACATTTACAGGGTAAATCCCTGATATATCTCTTGCCGACGGGGGCGAGATATTAGCTTGACGCTGAAGATATTTTGCTAATGTTATTGCTTACACTCATCCTGGGAAGATTGGTGACTTTGTCCGGTTCCTTCTCTTTGAGGGAGAGGATAACGAGGTCTTTGTTTGGTTTTCCCTTTTTTTCTTCTCATATTCTATGATCAGGGGTCTATTGGGAGGGTTTGTAATGTGAGTTGCTCGTTGGTCCTGGATTTCTTGTTGAGTGCTTCTGACTTGTGGTTTTACCTTATCGGGTTTTGGAGGTGGTGTCATGTAAGATAATGAGTAGTTTCTCGTTGGATGACAGTGGCCAAAGTATGAATGTACCACGGATAGTGCTGGTAGAAATCTGGTGGCACCTATGTTATCTGTTTAATCGGGAACTCATTGGAAATTAACAATCTTCAATGTGTACCTGCACTTATCCTGAATGAGTCCTGTGGGATCAGGATTCCGATGACCAAGTGACTGATATGGAGAGGAAAAAAGGATAAAATATTTATGAGGCAAAAATATCTTTATAACCTTGTGTATGGGAATTTATCTGGGTTGAGTGGAAGAGGTCCCTGTACTTGTTACTTTCCCTAAGTTCCCAAGTTGGAGTAGGATTTGAACTCTTCTTTGACCAGATCATTCAAATCTAGAGTTTGAGACTCGTTATACTTCTGGGGTTTATATCTATTGTCAAAGTTGGGGTGGGACTTCTAGGATTGGTGGGACTCATTAGGTGTGGCCTGATGTTTGATGAGGATGAGGTGAATCTATCCAATTGCACTTTTTTGGGATGGGGATGGTGGCTGGTGGGGTCATCTCTTAACTTTCTAGTGGTGTGAGGATGTGTTCCTGTCAGTATTCTTTTGAGATGGAGTTAAATAAGGCAACCAAATTGGTTACACTATTGATTAATTTCTTGTTGGAATTGATTTATTTTCTGATACTGATAAATATAATTAAGGAAGTACAATATATTAGCTTATCTGTGAAAAGTTCAAGATGGCTTATAACCAAGCGAAGAATTTTTAATTCAGTGAAAGCTTAATTAGGTTAAGCAAGAATATAATGATATTAAAAAGTAAGAAAAATACCCTAGTTGAGAGAAGGAACTTAAATTATTAAGAAGTCATGTACTTTAAGTATGTTCTTGCTTTCTTCTTTTTCTTGATCAATCTTTCCAATCAATCTTCTGATTTATATCTATGCATAACTACTTGTCATGGACTTTCTTGTGATGATGAATTGTTTCTGGGATGTACCCAAAGAGGTTATGCACATTAAATTTGGAAGGGGGGGGGGTACTTGCAATCTGGTACACTGCTTTACTTCTATTTTCAGTATTGTAAAAAGCAGCCCCCGTGGGGGCTTAAATGACTCAATATTCTTGTAATTGATGGATTGAGCTCTTTCAAAATATGATGCTCAAGTGGTCTAAATAGAGACTATCCTTATAAGTAAATATTAGGTGGTCTAATTGAATTGATCGGATTAATGACTTCTCGAGCCCTAATCTGATACATCGTTTCTACCCAAATCAAATCAAATTCAATACCATTAAAGCAGGGCCGTCCTTGGAGGAGGGTGGGCTGGGCGTACGCAAAATTGAATTGTGCGCCAAATATTTTTAGCATACAGTAGTAAACATTAAAGGCTCCAGTTATTGTTTCTAGACTAACACAATTGACGATACATGGTCAAATCCAATGACTTGCATCTGCTTTAATAATTCATAGATTTTATAATAAACACAAAAAATAATTGTAATTTTTATTGCAATGTAAAAGAATATAATCAAAATTGCATCGCTTATTGTGTTTGCACAAGCCTTTGCATAAGATGTGTTGAGCACTAGAAGTTCCATGGCTGCATAACTCCAGTTACCACTTTCCAGAACCATGTTTTTCTTCCATTATTTTTTTGTATTGTGCCTAGAATATATGATCTCTTCTTTAATGCATCACCACTAGAAGTTTTTAAGCTTATTTACCTTTTTTTCCTTTATCCTTGGGCAAATGAAGATTCATCATCACTTGCTCTTGTACAAATGGTTGGTCATTCTTCCTGCCAAATTTTGGTCTAAGCTTGAGGGGTACTTTTATTTGTTTTGTGATGGGAGATTGTGAATTGCTATGTTCGGTCTAAGGTGCAAAATTTATTGGTGAAGCTTACCTCATTTGCTAATACTTCTTGGTTATGAGGTTTTGTATTTTTGTGCTACTTTGTAATTTATTTTAATCAAGTCCATTTAGCACTGATTGAAGTTGATAGATATTTGTACTTTTCCTTTGCTTATTTTCTTGTTTTCTCATAGTTGACAGAATAATATTAGGTTTATAAATCGTAACCATATGGGTTGTTGCCATCATATGATCTGTCAGGAATAACTGAGCCCATCAAATCTGGAATACGAGATTCAAAACTAGGGGTTGGAAAACAAGAGCAAGATGATTTCTTTACCGCAGAAGAAAATATCCAGCGGAAGAAACTCGACATTGAACTTGAGGAAACCGAGGAAATTGCCAAGAAGCGAGAGGTACACCTTTTAGCCCTAAGTTGAGAGTAAGAAATAAATATAGCGGTCAAACCTTTGAGGTTGATGAGTTTTTCTGAAACCTACATCTAATAGTAGAAGGCAGCATATAGTATATATGTATGTCTTTTGATGGGGAATGCCCTGTGGAGCTCTTGAGAATTTCGTGCAGTTTTTATTACCTGGTGGCTTCTTCTGCCCCCTTCCTGCACATTATGAAAATCCAGGTTATGGCAGATCGAGAGCAGAAAATTCAAACTGAGGTCAAGGAAATACGGAAAGTCTTCTATTGTGAGCTTTGCAACAAGCAGTACAAGTTAGCGGTTGAGTTTGAAGGTCACCTTAGCTCCTATGATCACAATCACAGAAAGGTAAATTAATTAAGTCGATTCTGTTCATGGAATTAATTACAATTGCATTATAATTTGTGTCATAACTTGGTTTTTGCTTTTACAGCGCTTTAAAGAGATGAGAGAAATGCATGGAACCAGCAGTCGTGATGACAGGCAAAAACGTGAACAGTTACGTCAGGAGAGGGAGATGGCCAAGTTTGCTCAAATGTATGTTTCTATCACACATTATATTCCAGTTTGCTTCTTTTTGTTGCTCTCTAGCTAGTATGTTTCATTATTTACACATAACAGTTCAATATTTTACATATTATCATTTAGGGCCGATGCCCATAAACAGCAGCAGCAGCAACAACAAGAAGATGAATCTGGGAAAACCAATCATCCAGTGAAGAATGCTACTGTTCTTGCTGATCAGGATCAGAGGAAGGCATTGAAGTTTGGATTTTCATCTAAAGTTGGTGCATCAAAGGTACTGACAATTTTCGATGAATCTTCATCTTTAAATGTTCCATGAATAGTTGATGCTGCTGCATTTTTAAACCATGCCATAAGATTTTGAATTTAAACAATTCCTGCTCTGGCCTTCCACGAGCTATATGGCTAAGCAGTTGGGTTCCGTTAGGAAAACAAAAATTCGTGAGAAACGTAGGAAGCACTTTGTTAGCGGAGTCTCACATAAGTTAACATATGTTAACATTTTATTAGATGGTATGTTAATGTATATTAACGTAAGTTAGGATATTACCTTATGTGAACACCCACTAACGAAGTGCTTGTCAGGAAATTTTGATTTCCTAGACGATCCCAGTTTTATGGGTAATTGGGCAATTCTCAAGTGCTGCAATTTGTTTAAACCTGAGATGAGCATGTCCCTTTATTCTTGTTTGATACAGAGTTCAGGCATGAGTGGTGCAAAGAAGCCGAAAGCACCAATTGCATCGGTTTTCGGCAACGATAGCGATGAAGAGTAGTCTTTGATCTGAAAAGAAGTATACAAGTCTGCAGTAAAAAAAGTTGTACCCTAACAAACCTCTTACTTGATGTGCTTTTAAACTTGTTATCTTGTGTGTTGCCATAGAATTCATATGTTCTAATTTTTAATATAATGATAGACTAAGGTAAGGGGTGTGTGTTTATGTGTATATTCTGATGTCAAATACTTGCTTAATCATAACCACATGACACATTCTCAAAATAAGCGAGTATTAACTAAACAAACAAACATAAATTAAGTAACACAGTCAAAATTGTTCATGTTTGTTTACCGTAAACGAACTTCTAGTCAAATGGTTCATGAACAGCGTACCAAACGTTCGGTTCATTTACAGCCTTACATATGTAGAGGTTGGTTCGTCTGTGATATACACTATTTCCATACCAAAATAAGTGTTGATATGTCAAGATTGTTGTCGAAGCATATTACCGCCGAACAATGTTCAATGTTACTTTAGAGTCACATGGTTCATTGGGTGTAAGAGTTTTCTTCCCAACGAGTCTCTACATAGATATCAATTTTTTCACTCTAAAAGAAACATTTGGAATTAGATTGTCATTTCATAAATGAAAATATTTGCAAGAATTTTGTCCTAACAATTATTTCAATGATCAAATATTGGTTTTGGACAAAAAGTAGATGACAATTTTTTATGCAAGTTGGGAGAGATATATTGAAGCTGGTTCAAATGTTAACCAAGATTATTGTGTTAATTTTGTTAACCAATCTTGGTCATTGATTCTTACAATAAACAGTTGTGATTAATCATGATAAAAAACTATGTGTGAACAAACATGAAAAGGTATTTAAGTAATTTTCTTTTTTATGCAACTCTCATATCATTAATTGAGAGTTATAAAATCAAAAAATCTCATTATTTTTGTTAATGTAAGAACCATACGAACACACACACACATATATTATATATATATATATATATATACTATATTATAAAACATTTAACAAAAACTCTTAAAAATCATTTTTTATGCATAAAGTACTGTATATTAATGCATATTACTTATAATTCAAGATTACAAGTAAATTATGTATAAGTATAACTCATTAAAGCTCTATGTTTGAATTCGTGTAACTAACTGTGGATAAACATAATCAATAGAGGATAAATATCTCATTTTAAAATATAAAAAATCTAAAATATAATTAGGATAATTATCGAGTTC